ATTTGGTCACAAGGGAAATTAGAGTTAGGGACCTCATGGATAGGGCTCTTGGTTGTTGGAACTAGAATGTCATTAATAGAACATTCCTTCTTATGGACAGAGATATCATCTCTAAAATACCTCATAAAAACCTAGAGGGGGGAAAATACCCTAGGATGGTCTGCTAGTAAAAATGGTCATTATAGTGTGAAATATAGATACTACTTAATTAAAGATTAGAAAGATAAAAGAGTGGAGGACTACTCTAATCATAAGGGGGACAGGGATCTTTGGAAGAAAATTTGGAGTAACCAAAATACCCGCAGACAAAAAATCCTAGTTTGTAGATTGATTAATGATATTCTTCCTACTAAAGATAAACTTAACAAGAAAGGGGTGAAGTGTGACCCTTTTTGTCATAGATGTAACAACATCATGGAATTCGCAAATCATAGTTTTATGATATGCAAAGAGGCTCAACTCACTTGGTTTGACTCTCAACTAAACTTAAATTTCTCCGCTAGTAACAATCAAGAGTTTGTGGATTGGACCAAAGACAAAGTCCCTATGATGAGTAAAGAAAGTCTAGAACTTTTCATCAATATTGTTGATAGTCTATGGAGGGCTAGGAATTTAGCTATTTTTGAAGAAAGACGCATACATGTTGAAGAGATCATAAATGCAGCTTCTTAAACCATGAAGAACTTTAAAGATGCAAACAAACGGACCAAATCCTTGAGCACCTTCCAGAATGAGAAAACTAAAATGGGAAACAATGAAAAAGGCTTGGTTAGAAATTTTAATAAGGAGTGACTCACTTAAAGTAAGGAATATGTGAAGACTTATCAACATAATAGATGACAAAGGAAGAACGGAAAGAAAGAAAATGAGCCTGAGAGTACTGAAAATTAACAAAAGATTAAATGTTAAACAAATAAAGGACTACATACGTAATCAAAAAGACAAAATGAAGAAACACATAACTTCAGAGCATAAGTTGGTTGCTAAGCTCAATCCCACCTCTAATCATAGCAAAGGTAACCCGAGGGATCTTAATAATACTTCTCCCTTCAAAAACAAAAATAACTCGAACCAACCCAATGATAAAAATGATAAGAAGAAAGCAAGGATGGAAGAAGAGCACATACTGTTGAATGTGACTGCAATGAAAGAGAGACAAGGTTCCAGCCTCAACATGCACAAAAGGAACAACATCGGAATTAAGATCTACGATTCTAATAAAACTCTATCATTAACAATCATGACTAAGTGATAAAGTTACCGGTTGGATCAAATGTTACACTGACGCGAGTTTGATTCAAGAAGGATATTGGGATTTAAAGATATCTTTCGTGATGAAGGGAATGTTTTGAAAGCTTACTTCAACAGAAGAATTAAAGATATTAACCCTTTAAAAGCAGAAATCCTAGCAATGAAAATCTTCGTTGACAAAGCGATTCAGAGCAACTACCAAAGGGTGGTTTTTTAGATGGGATAGTTTGGAGATGGTGAAAGTGATAAACAATGGAGAAGACATAGTTCTTAGAACGGCGATAGAAATGATGCATAAATGGATTTTAGATCAGAGAAGCAGAGAGACGATGAAGTTCACTCATACCAACAGAGACAACAATGAAATGACACACCACCTAACTACAGTATCATTGATGTCGGGTCATAGCAATTAGACCTATAAATATAATAAACTTTAACCCCACATTTGTATTAATGTTTGATTATTAGGAATTGATTTTACTATAAAAAAAACTTAAAAGTTTTGAGTTATTTATATAAAAAAAACATGTAAATAATTGAAATTAAAAACGACAACTTAAAAAAACAAACATATGTAAGCATTTTTAAAATAAAAATAAAAAATAAAACAAAAATGGGACATATGTCAAATTTTGGAATAAAGTTATAAAAATAATTTTGCTTGTTGTTTTCTTAAGTCATAGATGTCCACATTTGGGTTTGGCTCAGAAACCAATATGTTTTGATCGAGTCTACCTTATATAATCGATTTTGTTACATATGAATTTCAAAACTGTTATTAAATATATACAACATATTATAAATTTTCTTTAAAACAATATATTAAAGATAAAATTAATTAAATATTAAGTGTGTGTGCGCGCGTGAGCGAGCGTGCGTGATATTGACATATATATTTAAAAATTAATAATTTTTAACAATAATTTTTTTAAAAGTAAACTATATATATATATATATATATATATATATATATATATATATATATATATATATATATATATATATATATATATATATATATATATATATATATATATATATATATATATATATATATATTAAAAAGATGAAAAAGAACCAATCATGACCATATATCTCACTACATCATATTTATATTTTAAAATTCTTTTAAAAGACCATTGATTTTCTATTAGATAAGAGTCTTATATAAAGTTCATTTGTACCGATTGAATAATAAATATAGAATCATGTATGATACCATTTGAATTAAAGATCATTTTTTTTAATTTTAAAAAATTAAATTTTTTATTTAAAATTATTTAAAATATTTTTAAATTTAAGTCATTTCTTAAAATGTTGATATAAGAAAATAAAATTATAGTAAAAATATAAATAATCTTTGAAGAAAAAATATTTAAATTAAATTTTATTTGAATTTTTTAATATATTTTTTGTAATATTGTGCCACCAAATAAGACAAGGGCCTCCAAAAATTTTAAGTGATTTTTGTAATATTGGGCCTCAAAATAAAACAAGGGCCTCAAAATCAATCTCAAAATATTGCACAATATTACTCAGTTCTTTAACATCTTTGGAGTTTGCTGGCATATTTGGTTTGCAGATACTATTCTGGAGGTGGAAGCTGTTGTTTCTCAAGGCTTGGAGATTGATTTTGAGGCCCTTGTTTTATTTGGGGGTAGTGCAGTTTTTTTGGTTTGGTAAGGGGTTTCTCAGTCTGATATTTGTAGTTTTCTTTAAATGTTATTTATTCTGCTTTGTGTGTGCCATTCTTGCTGTATCTGTTGTCACTTGTTTGTATTTTCATTGGCATGCCTTGTCCCAAGTTATTAATATATCCTTTTTGCCTTTTAAAAAAAACATCTTTTGAGAGTCACACGGTCTCACGCTTCTCATTTAAAACGGGTCAACAGAATTAAAATGCTGCGTGTCGAATTTTTCTGTTTTGCACGAGAAAGCGTGTAACAGATTTAAGAACTTCACTTCTTTCCTTCTTTGGTGCCACCAATAATTACTAGTAATTTTGATATTCACCTAAATATTAGCAATAATAATAAAATTATGGGCGATTTTAAGGCCCAGCTGTGCCCAAGCGCTGTCTCAAGATTTTGTCTTCTTTTACTAAAAATTATGAAAATTGTGGCGGTTAAAAAGTTCTGTTATGGCAATTTAAACTGTCACAACTAACGAAAATGCATTGAATAAAATTGACCGTCACACAAAAATGCAATGATATACATAGAATAAAATGGCAATTTTTTTTATCGTGGATAATGGTAGTTTTGACCGCCATAAATTAAACATTTTTCACAATAAAAACATGAATTTATTTTACCTTTTTTTTATAAAATTAAGCATATATTATATCAATTTTTTTATATTATAATATTTAGATTCAACTACGTTACAAAAAGTGAAAACATTAAAATAAAAAATAAAGTTGTAATTTAAGACCAAATTAATCAAAAATAAAAAATAAATATTTAGGAGAAATAAAAATTAACATAAAAGTAGTAGCTATTAAAATTTAAAAAAAAACATGTACAATATTGTAAAAAAGAAGAGAAAAATAAATTTTATCCTCAAATGATATAAAAATATATTAAGTGTTCGATATAATATTTAAATAATTTCTCGTCTATTTTTGCATCAATTCTTTTACTTTATGATGTTAATTATTGTTATTGTTGATGATTGTTGTTGTTGGAGGTTGTGGTTTATGAATTATAGTGCTTGTTGTTATTGATTGTTTCACTTTACATGAGGTCCAATACTTTAATTTATGTTCACTTTATATGAATTATATGGTTCAGTTTATGTTAACTAAGAATTAGTGTTTTAAATTTAATTTGTAGTTATAGTAGTTAACAAATAAAATTCTTTTATTAACTTGCTACTAATTTTATAAATTATTATAAATCACATAAAATGATGTTTTATGTTAGAATCAATCTCAAATTAAATATGACTATGTTAGTTTTAAAATTATGCAAAAATCAATTATATTAAAGATCTTTTATTTTGATTGATAACTATTTATATATTATATATAATGTAAACGTGAAAAAATAACAAGTTTAAGACATCATCACTTAGAGCATCTTTATTACAGGTTTTTAATGGTTAAATTTTTTATAGTTAACAATGATTATAAAGAATTTGCATTGGAATGACTATGACATGATATTTAATTCACTAACTTTTAATTTCAGACAATTATATAGCTAATGTATGCTATTTATTTTGAAACATATAATATTTATTATTTATATTATTAAAATCTTGTAATTTTTTAAAACAACGGTTATATATTATTATTTATAATAAAATACAATTTTTATTATTTACAATTTTTTTGAGCAAAATTTTTTAAAGTACTTTTCGCAATTTTAATAATTAATATATTTTAAAAAAAATAATAAATATTTTATGTATTTTATTTAAAATAATTAATTTACCGATAATTTCAATAAAAAAATAATTTCAATTAAAAAATATAAAATATAAGATCAAGTTTTAGTTTTTTTATAAGCAACTATCATTGAAGTAAAAACAACTCAAATCAACTATAAATTTTTTAAATTCTACGAATCACTTTACGTCTATAAAAAAATATATTAGTTTACCAACATACCAACTAAAGATACTGTAAACAAATCTTGAACCATAAACTACTCACAAAAAATTTGAACGTGGAAAACTGCTCGCTCTCTCAATTTTTGAATCCAAAGTTAATTCAATTCCAAATTCCTACTCATCCATCAACCATGTCAACTGAAGCAAAACCCTCTGATCTTCATTTTCACTCCAGAAACCCTTCTATTCAGTACGTTCTTGAATTCTACATTATCGTTAATTTTATTTTGTTGTTCTGTTTCTAATGAGTGATGAAAGATTAACAACGTGATTAATTTAGAATTTAGGTTTCTTTTTAAGTTTTTGTGTAATTTCAAGAATTTTATTAATGCACTTATGTATGTATGAACAATAATTATTTGAAATTGAAACTTTGCTTGCATACATGTGTTGATTTTGAGTTTTGATTAAAATCTTTGATTTAAAGTTAGGGCTTTTAGGGTAGGTTAATCAAAATCATAATCATATGGAAGTGATTAATCTTACATGGATTAATTACGTTAAATTATCAGGGTTTCTAATCTTCAGGAACTTGATAATCAAAACCTAAAAAATTGTGCATTTTACTTAGGAATGAATTGTAGTATAATATTGCTTATTCTTTTGGTGCCTTGTTTTGATTATTGGAACAGTGAATATACATACACTCATATCAAAAGTTTCAAAATAATGGTCACGAGTATCGCGATTTCGGTCGTAGCGGTGTGAATACAGTTTTGTGTAACATTCTTTGAAGCTGTTAAAAGTCAAATTGGTCACGTTTCTGTGTAATTTTCATTGGTTTTCTGCACTTTTCTGTTATTTATATCTTTGTGGATCCACTTACTGTGTATGTGACCCATGTTATTTTCAGAACTAGCCAAATGCAGAATATAGCAAGTGAAAGCAAACCATTGAAAGACTCAAAGAAAAAGGTTTCAGTTTCTTTTACTCAAAATCAGGATGGAAAGAAAATGTTGAAGGAAAACAAATGCAAATCAAACACAAAATCTAACATGTGTTATTGTTCACCAACAACTCATGAAGGTTCATTCAGGTGTAGACTTCACCGAATCAGTGCACCAAAGAAATCAGTAACTGAGAAAACCAATGTGAGATGTTCCAAGTTGGCACATGTTGAGTTTAAGCCTCAACTGTCAAGGTTTGGGAGAGTTGGATCACATGATAGCTTAATCCAACTTTCTAGGTTGGGATCTTGAGAAATTAGCTTATTTGGATTTCCATCTACTTTGAGACTTTGTTTTTGGGTTGGTCTCAAACATGGAAAATTGGAAATAGTTAATGCTGGTAGATTTAATAGGCTCTGCATATAATTTTAATTTTTTACCCTTTCTGTGTAAAGGGGTGGTTTGAATTGAACTTGTGCTAAAACTTACTGTAAAGTCTATGCACTTTCACTTTTATTTGGATGGTGAAAGTTTACATCTATTTTGATTTGTTCTTTTGACTTTTAGTATGAAGTGCTAATGAGTAATTAAGAGTCACTTTCACTGACTAATCCATTTTTTATTTTTAATACTCTCTCCTAATAAATGAAATTACTTCAGAAAAATGCATCTACTAACACCTTTTTTTTTTGTATGAAAAATGTACTTCCATTATTTTCTTAGCTTTTGTCATTTTATTAAAGAAGTTATTTTAAGCTTTTGCAAATTTGTTTTATAATGAATTCAATAAATATGGCCACACACACCTTTTCTAGCAGTGGGTTGTGACATTAATTTCTCGTAGAGCTTTGAGGATTAGTGACTTGCGAATGCGACTTCTCACATTCTGAGACTTTTAAAGATGGGAAGACAGATGTCAGAGATATGATTCTCAACAAATAATTTGTAGTTAAAATTTAGTGCACCAGTAGCAGCACCAACTTCATCTTCACTATTAACAAGGTCTTATTTTTGACAACACAAAATACCAAAAATTAAGGAGGGAAATCCAATTGGAAGTTTAACAGCAAACATGGTTTCTCAAAGACATACTCGACAAAACCAAAAGGAGCCCTAATACCTATTCGATATAAAAGTTCGGCAAAACTTGGGGTAACACCTGATCCATGGTAGGAGGGAGCCCAATTAGCTACTCCTATCTTATACACAATGGTATATTTTATGCTCAAATTTAGGCAACTGACAAGCCTTTTGAAGACCAATCTTCATGCACTCGCAATGATTTTTAAAGATGGAAGACAATCAACTGTTGTTATTCTTCCTTTATCAAGATATTCATTAATAAATGCAGAAGAAAAGGCATACTGCCAGTGACCCCTTCATGCACCTTTATGCATTCGCCATTTTCAGCATCATTAATATATTTGTGCAAATTAACAATGAATTTCTTAATCAGTCTCGGATAAAACGGTCCAACATTCAATACATTTTTAGAAATTTGAGAGTCATTGAGAAGCTCCATAGTCTCATTGCATTTTTTAGCTACATCAGAAAGTTCCCTCTCAGAAGCAATTTTTCTAGGGAAGACAAACTTTCACCTGACCATGCTTTCTTTGGAGTGAAAAAAGATATTATCTAAGAGAACAAGAAAAATATTTTTGGGGAGCTTCTTCCCACCAATCAACTTCTTCACTCTTTTTGCAGCTGGTTCAACACCAAAACATTTTCATCTATAATGTCATACAAAAAGTCATTAACATTATCTTCAACATTCTGCTCCATAGTGGGCTTATAAGATTTCCATTTGGGTCACACACTCTTTAGTAACAAGCTTAGTAATTGCTTGAAGTCAATAATGCACAATCCAAGACCTTAGAGGGCCAATGAGTGTTTCAAAACTACTTTGAAGAGGGCCAATGAGGATTTCTAAATGCGGTCTAATACGTCAAACCAAAACCTAGAGACAATCTTAAGGGAGAACATTACATAGACTAATGGGTCTAAAATCACCGAGACATTGAGGTTCATCAGTTTTTGGGATCGAAATATAAAGTTATCTTGAGATTGGCTTGAATCCAATACTTAGTAGGTTATGGTCTTAAAGAGTAGGATCATGATAAACAACAAGATTATTAGCCATCACATATTCTCATCAATTTTGAGTGGAACCAAAAGTAAAGTTAAAATTATTCTTGATAATAGTTGTTTGCCACTGAGACATGGTGAAACTAAAATTTCTAGTTGGATTCTTGGAATGTAATACCTTTATCTCAAAATTTTAATATCTCTCAAATTTTTAGCACTTGTTTAAATCAAAAGTCAATACTTTTTGGTGTACACTCTGTAGAATTCCTCTTGAGATCCCAAATGCATATCCAACTTTGCTTTAACATGCTCAAAAGTTCATTGTTCCATTAGATGAAACCAAAATAAGTTGGTTTGGAACCATTGAACCTCACATAAGCTATCTCTTAAATAATCATTCTTTTTTTTCAAAAGCATGTTGATAAAAATATTAATTGGGCCAAGAATCTTTAGAACCAATCCATATCTTGTTCTAAACCTAAACATATAGTGATATATTTGTAAATGAATCATATAAGAGAGACTTGCAAGTCTTTTCCCCATGAGGCATCGCCCAGGCAGAACCTTTGTGTCATGAGGAACTCGTCTTTAGAAAAATGTGTACAATACCATTATCTCAACTACTACGAAAAGCATATACAACAACGGTTAAAAAAGGGATAACATCACGCGCGACCTGCCATTGATACGTAGGGTGTGATTGTATGTGCGCTACTTGCAATCACGGTATTATGACTGTTGTAGAAAACTTGAAAGCGCACTATATATGTGTTGCGGTGAAATTTGGATACCAAACTATTAATGAGCTTGAATCTTATTCATTTGCAACCGAACTTTGATTTGTCCAAAGGAAGGAATAAAGATCGAAATTCCCACAATGCAATGCAAATGCAAGCTAGAGAGTTATAGGTTCGGGGGTTGGTTAAACTTAGGGAAGGTGCTAGCATCCTAAGTTTCTGTAGTACTATACAGGAACCTCTTGTTTTATGTTTGTTTTATTGCTAAGGTTTATCTACTTAATGTTGAAAGACCTAAGGGTCTATTTTTAAGTATACTCGATAAGATATCGCATCTTATGCCTACATATCCTTACGGGAGTGGAATCAGAGTATCTGTAGTTCCCCTAAAGGGTTTGAGGAGTTCTTTGACTGTGGTCAAAGTTTCTACGGGATAAAGATAGTCGATTGATTGATTTTAGGAGAAAAGATGAGTTGTCATTTTAAGGGAGATTACTTTGATTTAACCACCACAACTTTGTAGGAAGATAGTCTTTGCATCGTCTTAAGAGAAGGGCTCAAGCACTCGGAATTTAATCGACAAGTATGTCACTATCTCTCTTAAGGCAAAGTCCCTACGAATTGATTGAATTGTTATGGGGTAGGAGTTTTATCTCGCTTAAGATGATTAACATCTTATTCTCTAATGTTTGAATGTTGTATTGAGTTGATTGAGTTTGTTTTTCTATGTTGTAAAAAGGCCCTTCCTATGGGTAGGATCTATCTTAGAAGATCGACTTGAATGGGATCAAGGATCAAAGGGGAGTATGATGCAAATGGGATGCACACACACAATTTTTTTAAGTTATGCGCAGATTCTTCCTTTGGACGTTATGCAATACGATAAGATAAATACGGTAAATGAAAATGCGGTAAAATAAAGACGATAAATAAATCCATACATAAACGCATGAAAGCGCTAAAGTGTGTGAATTGTGCATAGGTGAGTGGGATCGATGCGGAGCAAAGACGATCAAATTGATTACGATGTTGGTTGATTTTAGACGGAGTTGATTTAATTTTATGAGAAAATATATTGATTAGATTAACAAATTAGAAATGAATTTGATTTTAAGGAAATGTTGACTTAATTTTAAGAGAAAAGTTGTGTTGGATTTTCTAATAAAAGTTATATTAGTTATTTGAGTTGATTTGCAAGAAAACGTATTCTTGGTGGAATTGATTTTATAAAAAAGTTATATTAATTATATTAATAAAAAGGTTTTATTATTAAATATTTTAGCCATTAATACAAAAAGTTATTTAGAAAAAGAAAAAAAAAAGGTTTTTAAAAGTATAATAGGATAAATTATTTTGTTTAATAAAAAGTTTATTTAGAACATGAGCAAAAAAAAGATTATTAATTGAATTGATAAAATATGTAAATTAATAATGTTGAATTATTAATAAAATTGAGAGTTGATTATAAAAGTAGGTTTTAATTAAATTACATAAGACATAGTTAATTAATTTAAGGATTAATTATGAGGTTAACTTAAAAGTTATTATTTTAATAAAAAAAGGATTAAAGGTTGATTAATTAAAAGGTTATTATTATATTAAAACAGATTATTAGTTTAAAAAAAAGATTAATTAAGTTAATGAAGAGGGGCGTTGGATCTGGTGTTATGCAGACGTATGGTTTTACCGTGGGCTGCGCGATATGATCCGTTAGATTGTGATTTGTGGGCGACGTGCGGTGATTGTGACGATGGACCACGGTACTACCGTGGCCGTGCATGCATACCAGTTACAGCAATACAAAACATCAGAATAATTAAAAAATACAGAAAGCCAACGTGATGGAACCCTAATCCCAAAAGCGCTCGCTCGGCCCCCTCTCCCGATTCACTCCTCTCCGTTTCAATCTCCGTTTCACTCTCCCTCGATTCCTCGTCGCTTCGTTCTCCATTCTCGCACCTGAAACACCAATCGAAGCATCAACAGTTCAACAATTTTAACATGTATAAAGAATTTTACTGAAGGTTGGTGGCGGCGACAGAACGGAAGATGAAGCGTGAGCGGGTCCTTCCGACGGTTTTGCGGTTGGCTTTGGAAGTAACAATCTTCGATAGCTCAGAGAAAAGATGAGTTCTCCTTCTCTTTACGGTTTTTTGAGTTATTTAGGGTTTTAGGATTTTCGCGTGAGTTTTGTGGATTTCGTATTTCTTCTCTAGGTTTTCAAGCTGCGAATTCGTTCCCTTTTTATAGTTCTCAGATGAAATCTCTTGCTTAAAACCTTGATTGAATGCTTTGAATGTTGTGTTAAAACCTTCCATTTTGATTTTAGACAACATTTGAAAACCTTCTATTTTTGTCTGAATCATGTTAATGCCTGTTGATGAGAATCCCTTTCTGTGCGATTTTGTGATAATCACGTTAAAATGCTTTGATTGCTTGAAAATCTGCTAGCTGTCTTGAATAACATCACTTACCAAACAGGGGTACCCC